TAATGGGTTCCAGCGATGATGCTGAATCTTGAGCAATGTCAGTCTTGCTTCTCTCCAGTCTGGCTGGCTTATGTTGCTGTCAAGCTTAACTAAGCTGCTGGAGTATGCTGCGTGTCTGTGCGTATGTTTCGTCCTCACTGGTTTCCCTAAGGGATTATAGGTTTAAGCTGGGATAAGCTGCTACCAGCTGGCACTTGCGTCACTCAACAGCCTCTACCGAGCGGCCTCTCATTGGCTACTAGCATCTTATGTTGTTGTGACGTCACTTACCTCTCATTGGATAGCGCGCGTTTGCGTCATAGTGACGTCACGTACTTCTCGTTGGCTAGCAGCTGCTTGCGTCATAATGACGTCACTACGTATGTTCTCCGCTGTAAGATAAGATAAATTCATATCCTCAGGGGTTTACTCAGTCTCTCTCGTGTCATCGCGTAAGTTGTAGCTTCAACTTCGCTCTAAAATACGAAATAAAGTATTTACAAGATAACAAAGTTTTTGATAATAATAATAATAATAATAGCTGAATGAACTCTTTGGCTATTGACAAATAATAAATAAATCTTAGGCTCTTTTTTTTTAATACCAGAAGTATGAATAAGACATATGTGCAGCTCTAACTGGGAGTTCATCAAGCCCCTCCCATGGTATGGTTTGAAACATTTCTCTGCAGATTGAAAAAAGCTTGCTGGGTAGGGGAAAAGCTCTTCACTAACGATACCCAGGTGTTGCACATGTATACCCAGGTGTTGCACATGTATACCCAGGCATTGCGCATGTATACGCAGGTGTTGCATATATACACCCATATGCTGCACATGTATACTTAGGTGGTGCACATGTATAGCCACTAAATACAATCATCTTCTCATAAAAGTACTGTGTGGCCAATATCTCCTACAATAACAGTTTGCACAAGAAATAAATACGTGTTTCTGAGTTTGGTACGTTGCTTGTATGGTAAAGGAAAAAATAACTGGCAGAGTTCCTCCGAGTATCTCTAGTATATATTGACTATTTAATGTTTTATTGGTTTGTGACATTCTGACCAAAACTTAACAATTGTAAATGAGCGTAATTTTTTTTAATATTGTTATTTGCATTATATTTCACAAATTATGAAGACTAGAGGAATACAAATCTAGACAGAGTATGATGTTACCCAGAGACAAGTGCATGTAAGTTGAATAAAATTTGCAGGTCTGAAGTAATGAAGTTAATAAAGGAAACAAATGTAGTAAAAAATATATATTTGCGAGTTAAGGAAGCACGAAGGTGTGTCGTAGAGTTAGCATAAAATACCAAGAAATTAGAATTTTCCACAAGGTTACAACAACAAATTTCAAATTTGTTTATTTAGTCAATTAAGATGCTGAGAAGTGATTAAAAAGGCACAATACCGTGACTTCAACAGCTTTGCTGTTGCATTGAATATTAATCCTTCCTTGGGTGGTACCTTAATACGGGTTAAGGGCTTTTGATACAAGAAATTGAAGCTACACTCACCTTTTGTTGGATCAAGCATGATTGCGTCTCATTCCCCAGACGCTGTATGATCTTGGCGCATTGTGCGCTTTCCAGTAAACGTAATAAACATATTACGAATATTAGACTAGTAGTGTGTGTGTGTTACCTGGTTACCTGGAGGTTATGACTGTATGACTGTATATTATCAATGTTGCAATACTGTGTGCCTTTGTTAAGGCAGATATATTAAACTCTTGGCTCAGTGTACGTTAATATGTCTTCTTTATATCATGTTAGGTAAATGGATACAGATTCAACTAATGTGACATTTTACTTTGGCAATGTTTCGCTCTCCAGGAGATTTATCAAGCCGACGGCTTGACAAATCTCTGGAGAGCTAAACGTTGCCACAATAAAATATCATATTAGTTGCATCATGTGTCCATTTACCTAATATTTTGTGGGTAATTCTACCATTATTTCTTCTTTATATCAACCTGGGTGTTGGTTATATATGAGATATCTTTAGTACAGCAGCCTTAATGGCTTAGGCCATTAATAGGTTTAAAGGTTATCTACTACATGTGGGTGATTAGGGCTTCATGACACCTGTTAACCAGTCAAGAATATTTTGATTTGTAAAATAGGGATCAAAGTAAAATTTCATTGTATATAAATTGAGAGATAGAGACACCTCTCGGTGTATGTCTCTCATACATACAGAGACATACATCTCATGGTGTGTGTCCCGTAGTTTGATTGCTAGATCACTCAGCTCACACACTGAGGTCCGGGGATCGATCCCCGGTACGGATGAAAACATTAGGACGTGTTTCCTTAAGGCATATGCTAACATTGTTCACCTATCAGTAAAGTAGGTACCTGGGTGTTAGTCGACTGGTGTGGGTCGTATCCTGGGGACTAAATTGACCTAATTTGCCCGAATTATTCTGCATGACAAGGGGCTTTCTATATAGTAGTATGTCATTAATGTCACCTAGGTTTGTATACCTTGTACAAGTACGTGTAGAAATAAAGATTATTATTATTATTATTATTATTATTATTATTATGATTATTATTATTAAAAGTTCCTATATCACAATTATTAGATTAAATGCTCTTGTATCTTATAATTATCAGTGTATGTTGATGTAGGTGAGCTGAAAGGTTTAAACTTTTATTACTCATCACTGAACTGTTTTACTACACCGTTCCATTATACTAATACTGATATATTATTATTATGTTTAATAATAATGATAATAATTAGTGATAGTCTCTCTTCGAAACACTGAAAGCTGTGTGTATCAATGTATATACACAGGAAATTTACTTTAACTCCCCATTTTAGTCATTAAAACATTCTTGCTCAATGTTGACCGGGTTACACGTAGCCTTAATGAGACTCGTGTATTTTATAGGCTCTCAACCCAATTAATTAACCAAGAAGGTAATAAAACTCGTCGTATTCGGTACAGCCTTTTATTATATATGAATGAACACGTATAATACAAATATTTTATAAATTAAATTGAATTGTAAAATATTCAATAAATATAAAACAACAATTAGGCAACATTTAAACATTGACAATGAGAATACTACTGTTAAGAGAAAGTTGCATGTTGTATATGACAGGTTGTTGTGAAGGTTGTGTTGTGAAGGTTGTGTGTTGTGAAGGTTGTGTGTTGTGAAGGTTGTGTGTTGTGAAGGTTGTGTGTTGTGAAGGTTGTGATGTGAAGGTTGTGTGTTGTGAAGGTTGTGTGTTGTGAAAGTTGTGATGTGAAGGATGTGTGTTGTGAAGGTTGTGATGTGAAGGTTGTGTGTTGTGAAGGTTGTGATGTGAAGGTTGTGTGTTGTGAAGGTTGTGTGTGTTGTGAAGGTTGTGTGTTGTGAAAGTTGTGATGTGAAGGATGTGTGTTGTGAAGGTTGTGTGTTGTGAAGGTTGTGATGTGAAGGTTGTGTGTTGTGAAGGTTGTGTGTTGTGAAGGTTGTGTGTTGTGAAGGTTGTGTTGTGAAGGTTGTGTGTTGTGAAGGTTGTGTGTTGTGAAAGTTGTGATGTGAAGGATGTGTGTTGTGAAGGTTGTGTGTTGTGAAGGTTGTGTGTTGTGAAGGTTGTGTGTTGTGAAGGTTGTGTTGTGAAGATTGTGTGTTTAAAGGTTGTGTGTTGTGGAAGGTTGTGTGTTGTGAATTGTGTTTTGAAGGGTTTTGTGGGTTTGGGGAAGGTTGTGTTGTGAAGGTTGTGTTGTGAAGGTTGTGTGTTGAAAAGGGTTTTGTGTTGTGAAGTTGTGTTGTGAAGGTTGTGTGGGGTTTTTGTTTTTGTGAAAAGGGTTTTGGGGATGTGAAGGTGTGGTTTTGAAGGTTGTGTGTGTTGTGAAGGTTTGTGTTGTGAAAGGTTTTTGTTTTGAAGGTTGTGTTGTGAAGGTTGTGTGTTGTGAAGTTGTGTTTTAAGGTTGGGGTTGTGAAGGTTGTGTGTTTTTGAAAATTTGTGTTGTGAAGGTTGTGTGTTTGAGGTTGTGTTGTGAAGATTGTGTTGTAAAAGGGTTGTGTGTTGTGAAGGTTGTGTTGTGAAGGTTGTGTTGTGAAGGTTTGTGTTGTGAAGGTTGGGGTTGTGAAGGTTGTGTGGTGAAGGTTGGTGTTGGAAGGTTGTTGTTTGGAAGGTTGTGTGTGAAGGTTGTGTGTTGTGAAGGTTGTGGTTTGAAGGGTTTGTTGTTTAAGGTTGTTGTTGTGAAGAAAGTGTTGTAAGGTTGTGTTTGTGAAGGGTTGTGTTGTGAAAGGTTGTGTGTTGTGGGGGTTTGTGTGTTTAAAGGTTGTGTTTGGGTTTTGTGTGTTTAAAGGTGGGGTTAAGGGTGTGTTTGAAGGTTGTTTTTTAAAGGTTGTGTGTGTAAAGGGTTGTTTTTAAAAGGGTGTGTTTGGGATGGTTGTGGAAGGGTTGGGTGGATGGGGATGTGTGTTATGAAGGTTGTGTTTGAAGGGTGTGTTTGGGGTTGTGTTATGAAGGAGTTGTTTTGAAGGATGTGTTGTGAAGGTTGGTGTTGTGGGTTTGTGTTTGTGAGGTTGTTTTTATGAATATGTGTTTGAAGGATGTGTTTGCAAAGGAGTGTTATGAAGGATTGTTTATGAAGGAGTGTGTTGTGAAGGTTGTGTTATGAAGGATGGTTATGAGGAGTGTTGTGAAGGTGTGTTTGTGAAGGTTGTGTTAGAAGGTTGTGTTGTGAAGGTTGTGTTTTTGTGAAGGATGTTTTTGGAAGGACTGTGTTGTAAAGGGATGTGTTGTGAAGGTAATGTTGTGAGGGTGTGGTTGTAAGGATGTGCTGTTAAGGATGTTGTGTTGTAAAGGGTTTGTGTTGTGAAGGTTGTTTTGTGAAGGATGTGTGTTGTAAAGGGATGTGTGTTGTGAAGGAGGTTGTGTTGTAGTGAATATATATATTTTTAAATATTTATATTTAATATATTTATAATATATTATATATATAAATTTATAATAATAAATTAAATATATAAATATATTAAATATATTTAGATGGATACGT